TTTGGGGTCGTTGTCTTGTTGAACACCCATTTCAAGGGCATTTCCTCTTCAGTATAAGGCAGCATGACCTCTTCAAGTATTCTGATGTATTCAAACTCATCCATGATCCCTGGTATGCGATAAATAGGCCCAAAACCATAGTATGAGAAACAAAAACATAGACCCAAAAAGAACACTCTTACTTTCATCAGTCCACAAAATGTTGCGCCATTTCTCTTTAGGCCAGTCAATGTGCTCTTTGGCAAATTGTAACCTCTTCAGCACGTCTTTTTTTCAACAGTGGGACTTTGCGGGGGCTTCTTGCAGATAGCTTGGCTTCACATAGGCGTCTTCTAATTGTAACAGTACTTACAGGTAACTTTAGACATTCTTTGATCTTCCTGGAGCTGATTGTTGGCTGAGTCCTTGCCATTTTGGCTATTCTTCTATCCATTCGAATGGTAGTTTTTCGTTTTCTTTCATGTCTTTCAGGTTTTGGTTGCCATTTTAAAGCATTTGTGATCATTTTAGCTGAGCAGCCTATCATTTTCTGCACTTCTTTATATGTTTTTCCCCTCTCCAATCAACTTTTTAATCAAGGTACGCTGTTCTTCTGAACAATGTCTGGAACGACCCATTTTCCTCAGAATTTCAGAAAGAAATGCGCTGTAACCAGCATGTACAACATTTGCTGCTTTCCTTCCTTAAATAAGGGCAATAATTGCCACCTGTTTTTCAAAGAATGAATGATCTCACTAATAGAACTCCACACTGCTATTATTTTGAACATGCCCCTTTCAATTAGTGATTCAATTACACAGAATCAGCAGCATGTATGTCATGACTGTTGGGTCTGTTGGATTTCTATTACTCTACCACCTGCTAGTAAATTATTTGCCATGTAGAAATATCATTTCTACCAAAAACAGTGATTGATCAGGTTAGTGATGTCTGACTGCTATTATTTTTAAACACAACTGTATTACCCCAACCCCCTTCCCCAGCCAAACAAGCATTTCATTGCGGGAGGAGGGGAAATAAGCAAATATGTGTGGGGGACCCAATGCAATGGGGTCCTCCATACCCTGCATGGGTTAAATGAAGGAGGGGTAGGAATAGGTACAAATATTACTTTATTCCTTGATCAACCGGACTTCCTCCTCTTTGTGCAACCGGACCCCAGAAGATGCCACCCAGGCCTGTTGCAGCATTCTGACCTCATCATATACAATGCAAGGCCAGCAGTCCTGGATGGCGAAGACCCGCCCACAACCCAGAATATCGGATATGGCTGAGAAGAATGCCAACTACCACAGGGGAGCGAATAATAAGTTATTTGTGCTCATCCCCCCCCTTGCCAAAGAGCATTTAACCACCACATGAATATGTTAAAAAAAGCAGCCCGAAATTACAGTTTACTCTCTTATTGGAGGGTGATTTTTTTTTTTTTTAGATGAAAAAAGTATGGGGCAGACAATGAATTTGTGAGAAAAGCCCCAATGGCATTAAAGCAGAACCAAAGACATTTTACAACAGATTGTGAGCAGAATGCAATGCCTCTTCTGCAATAAAATACAACCACCCGCATGCTTGCAGTCTTCTGCAGCGTGTAATCTGAGCTGCTCATGCAAAGCTCAGCTCACATCACCGGTATGGTCCCTGTGTTCCGGGATGAATTACATCGTCTCGCAATGGACAATGGTCATGCTGAAGACCTGTAGAGAAGATGCCGGCACCAGCAAGGGACCCAAAGCATATGAGAGCAGGTAAGTATAGTGCCTTTAGTTCCACTTTAAGCCCCTGTTCAACTTTGGATCCAACTTTGAAATCGTGTAACTTCACTTGAATGGAACCGTTCTAATCAGTGTGACTCCAATTTCGTTGGAGTTGCACCATTTTGAAAACTAGTTCCTGCACTCAGTGGTGTATTTAGGTTTTCTGCTGCCCTAGGCAACACAAAAATCATCTGCCCCCACGGACATGGGCCAACACCCCCCCCCCTTCCCCCTCTCGCGGAGAGAGCCTGACACTGACCAACACCACCCCTGCTCCCCACCCGAGACAGCCTTCCACACACCCCCCCACCCCCAGCAATAGATAGAAAGGCACACATCTGCACACCTCCAGACATCCCGAGGAACGAGTGCCAGGCTCTGCATACACCACCAAGCATCCTGCAGCCTCTCTCGGATCCCACCTGGTTCTCATGGCACACGTGTCCCTTCTTCGAGGGGGGAGGTGCTGCCCCCCTGAAAATAGCTGCCCTAGGCAAATGCCTTGATTGCCTTGTGGTATATACGCCCCTGCCTGCACTACTTTTGCCGTTTTCAAGTGTGACTCACATAGACATCTGTGCATGAAGTCTCACAGATGCCTATCAAGATGCACCTGAAGTTGCACTGCCATCTGACTTTGAAATTGTGCGACTTCAGGTGCGTCTTGATAGATTTTTGTGCGACTTCATGCACAGATGTCTATGCAAGTCGCACCTGAAAATGGCAAAAGTAGTGCAGGAGCTACTTTTCAAATTGGTGCAACTGCGATGAAGTTGGAGTCACACTGATTACAATGGTTCCATTGGCGATCATTGGATGCAATTTGTAATGCATTTGTACTGCCGTGACAATTTGCATCAGTGTGAACCAGGGCTAAGTGATTGTTGTGCGTAAGGAGTTCCCCTTCACATCAGTGGTAGGTTATGTTCTGTACAACGTATGCCCCTGGCATGCACTGTATAGGGGCCATGCAGTGCATTGTCACAAAGCATCGCACTGTTTGTTTTTTTATACTTTGTGGATTATCACAAAATGACTTTTCATTCAGCTCTATGCATGTAAGTGCATTGCAGTGCAAAGTGTCTCAACCAGCTGAGCTGCATATAAATGTGACCCGTACTACTTTTTTTCAGAGATTCCAACACACTATTCCCAATGCACTTGTTCCAATATGGTGGTATATCTAAGTGGATGCTATAGCGACCACTGGCTGGAATTGAAGAGAATCAGAATGAGAGAATGTCACCAGTACACCATAGATTTCTGAAGTGGGTCCAAAGCTTTATTCAGTGATCACATCATTACAGTACAAGCAATGATTCAGATCCTCACAGGACCCCTTAATAAGCCCTCAAACCTGATGAAGGGGTTTGTTGAGGCTTCTAAATGTTGCTTCTACTCTAATGATGTAATTGCTGTATAAAGCTTTGGACCCACTTCAGAGATCCATGGTGTGCTGGTGACATTCTCTCATTCTACTTTTTTTCAGCGCACATCAATGCATGATTCCGCATGTTGCATAGGGGCAGACCATTCGCTGGAATGGGCTGCCTTACATGCATTTGTTGTCCGAAAAGAAGCCCTTTTTTCATGTGATTTTTAAAGGCACGGTGTGCCACGCGATCCTGCTGTGCAACAATTGCGGCAGAACCGCACCACGTTTGGGGTGCCATTCAAGTATTATGGAACCCAAACGCGCACTGTGCATATTTCAGCGCAATTTTCCAAATTGCAAATTGGGAATGGAGCCTTATTGTTAACGGAAATAGTAGGACATATGCAAACTGCCTTGTCTATGTGTTGGAACTCTGCTGTCCAACACAGCCCATCTAGGCTGATGTGAATAAGCCCTAAGTCATGGTCCACATAACCAGGAGGGGTGGCATTGTGTGCCTTTTGCAGTATTCAGTGCTAAATGCTCTCCCTCTTTCCCATACCAGAAGACTGGGGACTCAGAAGAGGAGGGGGGTTCCCTAAAGCAGTCAGGAGCACCCAAAAAACTATAATGGGGGGATCTGAAGCCTGCAAGAGATAGGCGAAGCCTGCTGGGGAGATCTTCAGCCTACTGGGGAGATGTGAAGCCTGCTGGGGAGATGTGAAGCCTGCTGGGGAGATGTGAAGCCTGCTGGGGAGATGTGAAGCCTGCTTGGGAGATGTGAAGTCTTCTGGGGAGATGTGAAGCCTGCTTGGGAGATCTGCAGCCTGCTTGGGAGATGTGAAGCCTGCTTGGGAGATGTGAAGTCTGCTGGGGAGATGTGAAGTCTGATGGGGAGATGTGAAGTCTGCTGGGGAGATGTGAAGCCTGCTGGGGAGATCTGCAGACTGCTTGGGAGATGTGAAGTCTGCTGGGGAGATCTGCAGCCTGCTTGGGAGATGTGAAGTCTGCTGGGGAGATCTGCAGCCTGCTGGGGAGATGTGAAGTCTGCTGGGGAGATCTGCAGCCTGCTTGGGAGATGTGAAGCCTGCTGGAGAGATCTGCAGACTGCTTGGGAGATGTGAAGCCTGCTGGGGAGATCTGCAGACTGCTTGGGAGATGTGAAGCCTGCTGGGGAGATGTGAAGCCTGCTTGGGAGATGTGAAGTCTTCTGGGGAGATGTGAAGCCTGCTTGGGAGATCTGCAGCCTGCTTGGGAGATGTGAAGCCTGCTTGGGAGATGTGAAGTCTGCTGGGGAGATGTGAAGTCTGATGGGGAGATGTGAAGTCTGCTGGGGAGATGTGAAGCCTGCTGGGGAGATCTGCAGACTGCTTGGGAGATGTGAAGTCTGCTGGGGAGATCTGCAGCCTGCTTGGGAGATGTGAAGTCTGCTGGGGAGATCTGCAGCCTGCTGGGGAGATGTGAAGTCTGCTGGGGAGATCTGCAGCCTGCTGGGAGATGTGAAGCCTGCTGGAGAGATCTGCAGACTGCTTGGGAGATGTGAAGCCTGCTGGGGAGATCTGCAGACTGCTTGGGAGATGTGAAGCCTGCTGGGGAGATCTGCAGCCTGCTTGGGAGATTAAAGCTTGTTGGGGAGATGTGAAGCCTGCTGGTTGAGATCTTCAGACTGCTGGGGAGATTTGAAGCCTGCTGGAGAGATCTGCAGCCTGCTTGGGAGATTGAAGCTTGTTGGGGAGATGTGTGAAGCCTGCTGGTTGAGATCTCCAGACTGCTGGGGAGATGTGAAGCCTGCTGGGGAGATCTGCAGCCTGCTTGGGAGATGTGAAGCCTGCTGGGGAGATCTGCAGCCTGCTGGGGAGATGTGAAGCCTGCTGGGGAGATCTGCAGCCTGCTGGGAGATGTGAAGCCTGCAGGTGAGGACTGTATGTGTGGTGTACTCTGTGTGTGGAGTCGGACTGACCCTGCAGAGCTGCGATCAGATTCTGAGCTCTCCCCGCACTGTGTAGCAGCACCATGCAGCGCTCAGTGTCGAGGGGGCGGAGTCAGGGGCGTGTCCGGGACAGGGACTGCTCTATACCTTGCCTGCTCCTACTCCGGAGGTCAGCAGTAAGAAGTGAAGTGTGCGGACTGGGTAGCGGAGAATTGTGTCGGGACCATCCAGGGTGCTTGCAGCCACCCACCCTCCTGTTGCTTCTACCATGGGCTGGGATTTCCTCTGCTTGCTGCTTCTTGCAGGTCAGCTCGGATCTTTCTTTCTCCCTTCTATTACTAAGCATCCTCGCTGTATATTCGGAGAGATACTTTGGGATCCGATGTTTGCTTCCCTGCCTGCGTAGAAGTTTTCCCGGCTGCTGGGCGGCAGCAGTATGTGTGTTAGGATGTCCTGCATGGCAGGTGTCCATGGGCCGGTGTCGATGGGTCGGTGTCCATGGGTCGGTGTGCTGGACGTCCTGCCACGTCTTGTTCTGTTGTCAATTGACTTGGCACACGTGTGTTTGATAACAGTTCAGGGAAATGTTCTTCTCCCCGAGTGATGGCTGTAGCTGTGTGTGGGGCTGTGACCTGGCAATGATGGCATTATCTGGGCTGACGCTGTGTGTGTACACCTCTCTGGAATTATGAACGTGATGCAGGCGCTGGGGGAGCGGTTGTTTCACATCAGGCACTCCAGCTACTTGTGGCACTACAAGTCACAGCGTGTCTTTACAGCTCAGGAGGGGCTGGGACTTGTAGTTCCCCAGAGAGGTCTTGTAGTGCACGCGGATGGATGTGATACAAGAAGTAGTAGCAGTGCCATTGTACAGGGTTCATGCTTTAGGGTCAGTCTTGGATACAGTATACAGGGATCGCGCTTTATTGTCAGAGTTGGATACATTGTACTGGCAGGTGACCAATCAGAGGAGCGGATTGTACACGTGGCTAACCGATGCCAGGGCAGGCAGCTTGTCTGTGCCAGTGTGCTGCCAGGGGCTCATACCTGGGGCTTTGTCATTTGCATGTCATAACGACTTCATGTTCTGTGCCAGAGAAAGCTCTGAGCTCACTGTCTCAGCATCGGTGGCTGCAGAGAACTGAACAAGACCAACACTGAAATGATTAGAGCCTTGTTCCTCAGCCAAGGGGTACTAGTGGTGGGATCACTCCTCCTTAGAAAGGAATTGATAAGACAAGGGGGTACTAGTGGTGGGATCACTCCTCCTTAGAAAGGAATTGATAAGACGAGGGGTACTAGTGGTGGGATCACTCCTCCTTAGAAAAATATTGATAAGAAGAGAGGGTACTAGTGGTGGGATCATTTCTGATTTTTAGAGATGAGTTGGTAAGAAGAAGGGGTTCTAGTGATGGGATCACCTCTGCTTTTTAAAAGGAATTGATGAGAAGAGGGGGTACTAGTGGTGGGATCACTTCTTTTTCTTAGAAATGAATTTCATGGGGAGAGGGGGTACTAATGGTGGGAACACCCCTGCTTCTTAGAAATGAATTCATGAGGAGAGGGGGATACTAGTGGTGGGATCATTTCTATTTCTTAGAAATTAATTCATGAGGAGAGCGGGTACTAGTGGTGGGAACACCCTTGCTTCTTAGAAATTAATTCATGAGGAGAGGGGGTACTAGTGGTGGGATCACCTATGCTTTTTAGAAATTAATTGCTGAGAAGAGGGGTATTAATTAAGATGAATTGGTAAGAAGAGGGGGTACTAGTGGTAGGATAATTTCTTCTTCTTCTTAGAAATTAATAGATACGAAAAGGGGGTCCTAGTGGTGGGATCACTTCTGCTTCTTAGAAATACATTGATATAAAGAGTGGGTATTATTGGTGGGATCATTTTTGCTAATTAAACCACCCATAGACTGTTTGAATGTTGGCAGGTTTAGCAGGAACCAGTCAAGATTTGAACCATGTATGGGGGCTGAATGTACCCGAGCTGATTGATCAATAGAAATGCATTTATAAGAGTTTGTAGTATTAACAAATAATCAATCGTTGCACATAGATCAATGTTTTAGGTATATTAAAAGCTAATGGATTGCTGAGAAATCATTTTTTTTTGCACAGAGAGAATGTAAATGGTAACTTACATTTGGGGTTACTTAAGATTAGGGTTAAGTGTTGTGTTTTGGCAAGATGTGTTTTCCTTTTTTTTTTTTGTTGTTCAATAAAAACTATTAAGCCAAAGTAACGTGTTTCCATCTTACGTGATGCCCATTAAGGGGCACTAGCTAAACACTGGCTTTAATAAAAGGAAAGTTCTTCTTGATTGTCACAATACAGTTGAGAAACATTGGACTAGAGCAGCCTTTCTTAACCCTTTTTACCCCAGAGGAATCCTTAAAATTTTCAGGTCTTGGGGAGCCCCTTCTAAATCCAAGTCATTGGAGATCAGTGGGAGAAATGCAGCTTACATTGGTGGTCAGTGGCAAAAATGTCCCCCTTACAGCGTGGGGCAGAATGCCCTTTCAGATAGTGAACGTTGGCATCATGCTGCAAGCTCTGCCAAGTGGAGATGGCCCTGGAAGTATGCAGGCACCATCAGACTGGAAGTCAATCATTCACTGCTGAAAGAACCCTTAGCAGCCTCTGGAGGAACTCTAGTTTTCGACAGAACTCTGGCTGAGAATGGCTTGACTAGAGTTTGCAGTGAAAATTTCAGCAAAGCACTATTTTTTATTTGTGAAGATCAGTGAATATTTATAGGATGGTCATGATGCATGAATATGTTTTATGTTTGATGTTTGTAACAATTGTTAGCGTGTGTGTGTTTTTGGCTTTCATCTGACAGAATGCCTGTAGTAGTTGGCTAACAGGTCAGATGGACAAGCTATATCTTTTTTTTTTTTTTCTTGCTGTGTCTGTTTTGTACCTTTGAAAGGTTGCCGTGGCACTGAATGAAAACTTTACTGAAACCTTAGACATGTCTTTGTAGAGGACACTAGAAAATGAGTGCCTTAAGTTGTTGTTAGGTTACAAGACCTGAGATAAGAGAGCCTGAGACAACACAGATTGCCCCCTACTGTCCCCAAGAGTTGACCTTCTAGAACAGATACTAGCAGAGGGTGTGAACACTTGGAAGAAGTGCTTTAGTGAAGTCAGAAAGTGCTGCAATGCTTTATATTAGGGCTGCCACACACTGGCAGGTGTCCCACTAACTGTGATAAGTAGGGAGAAGTCCACCAAATAGCATGGCAGTGGAATCCCCCCATCCAAGGCACAAACTCTGGACAATTTTCTAATACATGACTGTTGTTTATTATTCTGCTGTCACATCCAGAGGCGATAACATTTCCTATGGAAGTTGATGTACCCCAGCCTTTTTTAAGCTCCATGCACACGAGCTTGAAAAAAAGCCAGTGCTCTTCACAAAAACAATTTTAAATTTTGAGCGTTTTTTTTTTGTATGAGCATTTAGCAGCATTTAGCTTTTTTCCTGGTAGAAAAACACTCTCAAAAACACAAAACAGTTTTTTTTTTTTTCTGCCTCTAAACTCTGAGCTTAAAAAAATGCCTCTAGACTACCTAATGTGCATAGACGCATAGGATAACATTAGTTGCTTCTGCAGGCAAAAGACTAAACTCCTCTAGAAGCAATATTTTTTAAGCCAGAGTGCATGGAGTCTTAAACTTTTTACCACAGAGGAATCTTTAAAGTAATTTTTAGGTCTTGGGGACCCCTGCATAAACCAATTGATTGGTGGTTAATGGAAACAAGGCGCTTCCTTTAGTGGTGGTCCGAATGCCACCCATACAGACAGCTAGAAAGATCATTTTTATTGTGATTCTGGCTCTGCCAAGTAGCATTGGTCACAGAGCTATGCAAGCACCACCAAGGAACCCCTCGCAATCTCTGGAGGAACCCTGGTTGATAATGGCTGATGCACAGTAGCCTTCAGCTAAATTTGCTGCAGTTGAGAGCATTTAGTATGCTAACAAAGGTTATAGTGGTTTGAATAGGAAAATTATCCACAAAGAATTAGAATTGACAACAGTGACTGTTGTTTGTCAGTTCACTTCATAATTAGTCCAATGCATTTCAACCAACCGAACCACATATAACAGATGGGTAAGCCCAAGACTGGTGCTCATGTCAAGGTACTGAATGTGCAGTTATTTGGCATGCTGAAGAGGTATAACAGAGTGAGCGAGCTATTCAGACTCTGCAGGGACTGTGTGCACGCTGCAATAAGTAAACAGGTGTATGTGGCTGGTGGATCCTATGTGATAAAAACTAAATCACAATGTCTATTCGTAAAATTATATATTGTATTCATGTGCATTCAGTGGAGTAAAAAATAATGTGGAAGTATGTTTTATTTTCATTTATTGACTGAAGGTATAAGCAGCTTATACAATGAGAGGGTAACAGTATCTTATCTATGGTGGCAGACAGACAGGTCTCAGCAATGACATCAATCACACAGACTATGAAAACTATCCAGATCACTATTGTGAGGCACCAGCACCACTCCCTTTTTATAACTTACACATGCGAAGCTTAAGAACTCTGTAAACTGTGCTGTCTTGAATATGCCCACATTTTGCCTGCTCAACCAGCATATCTGTATTTCAGGAAAGCTAATAAATCTGGCCATACATTATACAATTTTCTTTTAGATTTGCTTTTAACCTCTTTCCGGGTGGCAGGGTACGCAAAATCACATACGTATATGTGATTTGGCATTTCTGGGTAGGGGGAGGCACGCACACGGCTCGCTATTCGTGGCATCAGCTGTCAATCACCGGGTCCCAACCGGTGATTACTCGCCGGCACCTGGTGATCGAGGAGCATTACCGACGGAGGAAGAGAACTGTATGTAAACAATACAGTTCTCTCCCCTGTCGGCTCCAGCACACTGCTTTGTATGGCTCTGCATTGCAGAGCCATACAAAGCAGTGTGCTTACAGTTGAAAGCACAC